TAAAATAAAAAATTTATATCTTTATGTTTGAAGCCTGAAATGTGGCAAAAGGTTGAAAAGTTCAAGGGGGCCGAATACTTTCGCAAGGCACTGTAAATCCAGGGAGAAAAAAGTTAGGAAAGTGGTCAAGTGGGAAAAAGATTGCAAACTGATGTTGACATTTTCTGCCATAAGACCTATAAATTGTTTTTGACAGCTAGAAACACACAGAATACTAAACTATGAGGCTTTTTATCAAAATTATGTTCCCTTTTTTGAAAATGGAACACACATACATACAAACAAAACATAAGAAATTATGTATCCACCCATTTTCTATTTTATCCAATTCAAGGTTTAGGGGGAGCTAAAGCCTAAGCAACAAGCTCAAGACAGAATACACCTTGGACAGGATACAAGTACATCAAAGGGCACACTTGGACACAAACACAGACATGTACACACTCACACCAGGGCCAATATACCCAAAAGCCAATTAACCTACTACTATGTTTTTGGCCTTTGTGGGAGGAAACCAGACAAACACAGGGAGAACATTCAAATGACACAAAGAAATAAAGAAACTGATTTGTCAGTATACAAAAAACAATACATCACAACAGCCTTAGCTTGGGTGTTATAAAACGGAGCTGCTCTCTCAGTCCTCTAATTGAGAGTCAGTACTACTGTATATGGAGAGGAAATGCTTGCTGGGGTCCATAACTGAATCATCAGACAATAAGAACATGAATTCCCAAATTTCCAAGCTGCTCATTCTGTGTCCCAGAGAGACATCATCTTGCCCCATTTTTAATTTTTAATTGCAGTTCGGATATCACTATTAAAAAGAAATATCTTACTTTTCCACATGTTGAAATTAACAGAAAGTGCAAATAAGATTGAAAACAGCAGAAACAAGGGTTATGAGGTTATGAGGTTATGTAAAGCAAACTTCCCAGCACTCTTACTGTAGCTTACTGTTCTCTATGGATTCCACAGACACAGTAAACTGAGTAAACCGAATGAGTAATAAGGCCCCCTCTCATTTGTAAACATTTTCTATATGCTTAAAGAAGTACAGCAAATGTCTTTTAGTAAACTGAGAGATCTTTACAGAAAGTCAGAGACCTCTCACAGTCCTGACCTCTCCATGGCCCAGCACCCACACCCTGCTCTCTGCAGCCCTGCTTCAGTTAATTACTTGTTATCTCTGTTTTGGTTCACAGAGACCCACATCAATTATCCTCATTATCCAGGGGGATATGAATCCAGGCATGACTGCAAACCCAGCACGAATATGCTGCATTCTCCCCAAACTCATTGGAGTAACTCATTAAACCTCTCTGCTGGGTGCTTTTCAATTAAAAATGACATTTTAATTCTGCTTGAAGACTTCAGGGTAGTGAGCAGCACAGGGGTTAGCA